GTATATATATTTGTACATATCTGTATATATTTCATTATTTTCCTATTTACATTATTATCCTGTAGTATCAGTATTATTGTTTTATTAAACCTGTTAGTTTTACTTTCCAACCCGTAAAGTCTCTCTCCCTTACTCTCTTTTCTCTTCCCTTCTGGGGAAGGGAGAGAGGTTAACAGAGAGCATCTGTCCAGGATTTAGTGGCCAGCCCAGCCCTAAACCATGACACAGGCTTACAGGACATTGAGTTAAGAATTAAAAAGCCTATTTATAAATAAAGTTCAAGCGAGAGTGGGGACACAAAATAAGGAGAAAGTTAGTGCAATCTGAAACAGAATTTCCCAAGACAGTATAAAGTTTAACATCACGGTGCCAACATTACCAAGACATTAGGCAATCCAAGATATTAAAGATATAGATCTTCAGAATAGTCCATGACAGAAGCAGGTTAAACTTCCCTAGAATAGCCATTCCTTTAACACTAAAAATGCCCTACACAAGATCTTGGCCTTTCAGAGCCTCTTCAGATGAGGATAATAAATACATTAAATAAGACTGAATTTAATTTAGTGTTTACTCAGTAAAGGTGTGATTTTCTACAATGCTAAACTAGGACTTAGTGTCATTTTCAGATTCAATTGTTTTAAAAGCCTTCATGAGCACAAGTACAATGCTTTTGTTACTTGCTAAAACCTATCTGGGAACAGGCTGCACAGCAGTTGTCTGATCTATGACAACTGAGGCAAAATTTGTTTCAGGTTTGTTCTTTCTCCAGGCCATTTGTTTAGGTTCAGCTGTTCCCTCCTTTAGGGTGACCTGCCAGAGGTGGGTTTTGTTTGGTTTTGGGTTGGTTGTTTTTATTTTATTTTTTTCCTCCTCGTCTCCTTGGCAACTTTCATCCTTTGTATAGGGTTGGGCAGTTTGCTCAGTTCCACCTAAGGCCACTTCTCTACAATCAGAGTGGACAGCTTGCACAATTTCAAGATCAGCAACACGCACACAGAAAGCAGGCACTACCGTTTATAAGACCTTGAATTTCTGCATTTCTGATTTAGTGTTTTAGATATGATATGTAATAAAAACAACTGATGATGAAAAGAATATCCTGGAGTTACATCTCCAATAAGAAGTCCCATGCTCCCACTCCTCCCTGGAAAGAAGAGGAGTTCTGAGAATCCTACTTAACTACAGTTTCCAAACTTATGTCAGCAACTCCATTTTTGGGACACCTCCACAACAGCTAATATGTGATAAATAGCGTGCAGCTAATGAGAGGAGAAAAGGTGTTTTTGTTAACATTATACTAGACAAAAAGCCTATCATAGCTATACAAGAAAGGAAGATGATTCAGGTCCATCACTATATTCTTTCACAATTTCCTTTTTGGTTCTCATCCTTCACAAAAGCTGCTACCCCAGACACTTTCCAGAGCCTCCTCATGCAAAATAAAGATACTGGCATTCCCTGTTGACCATAGGGGAATGAGAAACAAGACCTGCAATTTATGACTGCTTCTTAAAATAAAAGGTTAAGGCTTGAAGCTAGCTGAAACATGGTTCTATCTATACTGCTCTCTCATTAAAGTCCTTCTAAAAATTTAAGTCAAGACCTCTAGGAATACCAGCTGTATCCTCTATATTACTCTGTTAAATAATGAGAAAGTTTTTTGCAATTAGACATTCTGAAACTCTTGTCTAAAACATTAACATAAGCTCATATAAATACTACATCCATATACTTAGAAAATATATAAATATCCATCAGAAAATCCATCAGCTGTTACCACTAAAGTTTCTCCTAAGCTGCAATACAAGCATTAGTTTATTATTAATCCTTAGGTAAACTGCTTCAAAGCATGGGAACAAAGAGTTTGAACCAAATAGTTTGAATACTATTACATTCCCATGGCTTTCCAAAAGCTTGCAACAGAATGCCAAGCAGCAACATCCTGGACTTCTCATCTGTTTCTTACAGTTGTTAAAAAATAATACAAAAAATTACAAAAAAACCAAAACCAACAAGGACTACTTGCAGATTTTTTCAAACTCAAATTTCAAAATTTTTATAGGCAAAGCAAACAGTTTCCATACAACATCATATATGCCAGCTTCAGGCTTAGCATCTGTTACTGAGAACCTGATGGAGATTCTGTCAGTAAGCAGAGGCTTTAGTGGACGCATTATTACCCAGTTCTCGGAAACACTACCTTTGCAGATGTTCCTAAACTTACTATGCTAAGAATTATTTTTCACCACAATATAAAAAAGATTAATTAGAGCTTTAATCTAAACTTAAATTTCATTCCAGAGCTCAATCGTCACTGTATAGCTTCAGAAAGACTATGCTTCAAGTCCCCTAGAAGATGTATTTTTATCTGTTCAGCTAAAGAACATTAACATATGGTTCATCATTCATGTTAGTATCATTAGCCATCCAGTTTTGTGCTACATAAAATCAAACAAAAGTTGTATAATTCCATAACTGAACTCAATCGAATTGGTTCAGTGCTTCACACTTATCCCAGATGAACTAAAGTAGTCACATTTCACAGTGTGGGGGGGAAGATTCCTTAGGAGCACCTTCCATAATATCAGCTCAAGATGGACATGTAGTACTGCCAGACTGTTTCTTATCTACGAAGTCCCTTTCTCAGACTCTCCAGTAGACAAAGTATCACCAGTGTCAATCTTCCAACAAACCACAAGATGCTCTACTCAGTACCACTAACTTAGCATTCTCCCTGTGAACTCCGTTCCAGATAAACCAGCATCCTGTTTTGGTTTTGGTTTTTTTCCTTACCTCGTTCCCTCCACAAGCTTTTGCACCTGTAAGAAGTGTATAACAGTGCTAAGAGCTTGGTGGAATTTTCCATCTATCTCGAGAAGTATAAAATACAAAACAAAAATCACATCCCTAGACTGTGGTTACAGGCTAGGGAGAGGAAACAGAAAAAAAAAAGCTAAGGTCAACGAGATACACAGTGATGACTTACAAGCAAGCATGAGTCAGAGATTCCCAATGCTTGATTAACAAAGTGACATTACTTCTAAATTTGTATAAAATTGAGTAGCAAAAACACAGGAAAATGGACCAAACTCAGGCCACAAAGCTTAAATCTGCTAATCACAGCCTTAAGCTCCCCACTGTGAAGATACAAGAAAAGTATTTAGAAGCTAACTAGAGTCAAGTAGTTTTATCGCTTAGAATACCGATATAGTTAAGTAAATATTAAGATGGCTATCACATAAGTAAAATTCTAGGAATAAAACACCACTGGCACTACAACAAATACTGTCATGAGGGGAAAAAAGTAAAACCTTTTGGAAGAACATTCCAGATTTGGGGTTTGGTTTTTAAGAGCATCTTTATAAATAAGGTGAGGCTACCTTTACTCTATGAACTTCGCAATTAAAAAAACCCAACCCAACCAACAGTTAAGTTCTTGCTGGACAAGCAAACTTCGACATTTCTACTTGTTCACCATAGTCTGTAGAAGTAGTCTACACTGACTCAAACTTCCAGTTTGAGCACTGGAACAGGCTGCCCAGAGGGGTTGTGGAGTCTCCTTCTCTGCAGACATTCAAAACCCGCCTGGACGCCTTCCTGTGCAACCTCATCTGGGTGTTCCTGCTCCGGCAGGGGGATTGGACTGGATGAGCTTTTGAGGTCCCTTCCAATCCCTAACGTTCTGGGATTCTGTGATAGTCCTGTAGTCCTGTAAAAGGTTCCCCTGACAGATGGAAAAAGGATCATGAAAACTATGTTAACTCACTCAGCTGTTTGTTTCGCTAGCTCATTTTCTGTAGCCACTCATTTTCCTGACACAAATAAACTATCACCTATAATGAATACACGATACCCTATCTATTGAAAAGAAAACTAAGGAAAGTGTTTTCATGTAGCATGAACAGAAGAGCAAGCATAAGCAGAAGAAAAGTGTGATCTACAAAGACCCTGTTTACTTGGAGGGGGAGTCGGAGCAAACAACAAAATGATACCTATGATACCCTCTCCAACTAGTTAGGAAAGTGCCCTCCTTTTACTATCATCCAGTATTTGCTAGAATTTTCAGATAGGCAACCATTCTATCAGCCAAATTAATAACACAGTTTTACCATTTTTAAGGTACTTTTTTGATGGAAAACCACTCAAATACTATAGGTTAAAGCAGTCTTACTACAGTCCAGCTTGAATAATGTTCTCTCAGTTGCTGGCTAGTACAGGATTTTTTTTTTTTTCTTTAACCATATCCAACTTTCACAAGTTACATTACTTCCTTTATGTTTACCCTGTTTACTTGGAGGGGGAGTCGGAGCAAACAACAAAATGATACCTATGATACCCTCTCCAACTAGTTAGGAAAGTGCCCTCCTTTTACTATCATCCAGTATTTGCTAGAATTTTCAGATAGGCAACCATTCTATCAGCCAAATTAATAACACAGTTTTACCATTTTTAAGGTACTTTTTTGATGGAAAACCACTCAAATACTATAGGCTAAAGCAGTTTTACTACAGTCCAGCTTGAATAATGCTCTCCCAGTTGCTGGCTAGTACAGGATTTTTTTTTTTTTCTTCTTTAACCATATCCAACTTTCACAAGTTAGATTACTTCCTTTATGTTTTAAATGCCACTCAGCATTCATTCTGACTACCCTTAAGGCAAATTTAGCGACAGCATATGAAAAAAATAACATTTAAAAAAACTATTCTATGCAACGACAGCTTTTTCAGGCTAAAAACAGCTGCTGGAGAGAAACTCCAGAAACATAAACGGACAAGTCTACTGAGTTATCGCCAACCGAATGCACGGCTGCAGATACCAAGCGCACTGCTTCTCTCCCTTCCCACTCAGATCTCGCTGCCGTTCTACAGCC